ATAACTGTAATTAATTAAAAATAATAATAATTGATGAAACTATCATGTAACATACCTGAGCGATAATTATGGGTCCACCTTGAGAGGCAAGAAGTTTCTCTTCTGTGATCTTATTTATGATCAAGGTAGTGAAATTTTGCATCTCATTCTGTAAAACCAAATAACGGCAATGTATGAATAATTTCATTATGGTAATATATAAAAAATCTCATAAATTCTTCAAAAAATAATTAGTTGAAATATCAAACTAACGTGCCATGAACACATTATTTGCCGCCCTCATCTCAATACCAGGCAAATTATGCAACCACACAAGGAAACCCTTAAGAAAACAATATAATTAAGAATTATGGTATTTATTGAAACTAAAAATTATTAATTACTAGTTAGTTTAATAATTAGACATACCCGTAGTTCCATTCAGCACAAACATAAGGACCAATACGAAGAATAGAATAGAGTGCAGCTTCATGAATGGTTTTGAGAAATCTGATGAAATCATTATTCCCAGAAAAATCATACTGACGACGAACTGGTTCGTGAGCATTCCAAAACACGTAAGTCTATCGTATTAAGTCCTCCTTCTTTCGCTTTTTCAATCAAATCAGGCCACATCTATAACCATATATAAACAATTTAAACTCATCATCATAATATAATCAAATCCATTAATTCATTAAGCAGAATTTATATATAATGATACGATTATAAATGTGTGTGCGTGTTGTATTATATCCAAAGTATTGAAAATCAAATTGGTTAGTTTAAAGGCCAATAGTTCAACTATGGTCACCCCAGTTATATAATTAAAATAATATAATTTAATAAAAATATACAAAACAATTGATATATAACCTTGAAAAGAGTAGTATTTGAAAAAAGAACATTAATTTAGATGTAATCAGAGCATTTATGCATGTATAAAATCACACATAATATGCATCAAAACAAGGTTACTAAAGTATGTTTTCTTTACTCATAAGAATGTTGTTTCAGGCTCTGCAAGGAAGTAAAAAAAAAAAAAAAAGACTCTTAAAAACTCTTGACCAGACTGGCTAGATTCTGACTAGTTAATGCCGGTTGATGTACAGAGAATTGTACGTACCTCGGGAGTGCTCCTTGGGTAGTGAATTGAACCAGAAATAAGAATCCTACGTTGGCCATCGATAATGAAGGCTCTTTCATCATGAGAAACATTAACAGCATTTGTGAGAAGAACAAGACAGAGAAAACAGAGACAAAAGAGGACTTTTCCAGAAGCCATGTTGACTCGAGAGAGAAGGAACAAAGAAGAGAAAAGAGAAGAAAGTGTGTGTATACAAATATTGCAGAGATTCGAGTTTATGTGGAAGAAGAGACGTACGGCTATCTGATTTTGTTTATATTTGTTTTTTGTAAGCTAGTAATACGTTTGTTTGTTTGGCCAATTTTAGATAATTATTTTCAGATTATGATTGGCCTTATCCTTTTGGTGTATAAATTTAAAGTGAATTGATCTTTAATTTGACAGAATGATTAGATATTCCTTATCAATTAAAATATTAATTTAATTTACTCTCTAATTATTTGTCCAAAGCAAAGCGTAGTAAGATTGTGTTTGTGTGTACGAGATTATGTGTGTTTTTTGTTTTCCTGTAACTTTTGGACAAGAATTGTATACTTAATTTTATATGTTTAATATATTTTCATCCAATCAAGTTATGACAAGTGAACTTTAATGTATTAATAATATTAATTACAAGAGTTTGTTATAAAATAAATAATTTATAAAAAATCCACACATCTTAATTTAATTAAAAACAAACAAAGGTTAAGTATACAAATTTTTCTCTAACTTTTATTCTACTTTCACTACTTGTTCTCGTGTCTTATATAAGTTTATTGATTTTGTGTCTCTTTTACTATACAGACCTCCATTTTATATAAAAATTTAAAAGCTAAAATCCTAAAAATTACTCAAAAAATGATGCACAGATATTGATATGCATACGAGATGGGACATGATATAGTTATGCCTGACAAATTTTGAAATTTTACGATATAGATTGGGGAAATATACACATGTGATTATATATATATATATATATATAAAACAAATTCACACATAAAAATGAATAATATAAAAATTTGAGTTTTGAATATGCATTTTATGCTCATTACCAAAAGAATATGAATTTTATGCATTTTTTTATACAATGAATTTTATGCATTTTAATAGTAATATAAATATGTCATTGAAGAAAATGTCAGAGAAAATATGATAAAAAAGTTTTAAAATATATTTTATGCATGAATAAAGTACTTTGCTTTTATCCTTCCATCTTGTCGGATATATATTGGATATGGATACATTGACTCTTTTAAACAATCCGTATGACATCACAAAAAGTCAAAAAAAAAAATAAAAAAGAAAAAGAAAAACACACCATCACAACAAAGCAACACGTGTATATTTGAAATCATATTATTGATTAAAATATATTAAAAAATCACAATGATTGATTAAAGAAAGAATTCAAGGTATATATAATTTAAAAAGTCCAATTAAATAATTTGCTTAAACTATTTTGATAAAAAAACCTAATATTTTTATATATAATTCTTAAAAATTTAATTTCATATTTAGAGCAATTTGATATAGGATGAAAGGAGAAAAAAACAAAAGAAATGGAAGAGGATTAGCATAAAAAAGATTAGAAAAAGGATTGTGGACTTGAAGTATTTGAAAATCAAAAGAAGTACAAGATCATATGAAAGAAGAAAAAATTGATTGAATTAAAGATGAAAAAAAGTAGTAAAAAGAATATTAGAATATATTAAAAAATCTGAATAATTAAAGAATGAATTAAAGATATATAAAATTAAGGCAAGTCCTATTAAATTGGTTTAAGCTATTTTGATAGAAAGACAAACCTAATATTTACATAATTCTCAAAAAAATTAATATATATCTCCAACGGTCCAACCTTACAAAGAACAAAACTCAAGCCAATCTTCGACTTCACAAACTCTTCCCTCCTTCTGCTTGTAAATTCCTTTCAAATACCTTTCACTTTACTAAGCATGAAAGATAAGTTTAAAAAAAAATCAACTCAAAAATTTCAATTTCAACCCAGAATGTTGGTTCTTTTGTGAAATTTTTAAAAGTTATTGAAATATATATTAGTATTTTATCAATTAAGAAAGTAGATATATACCCAACGTAAAATTATTCTTTAATTTTTTTAATAATATTTGGTATTAATATAACACAAACTTTATAGTGAAATTTATGTTGATATAAATGAAAATTTATATTAAGGTCAAAAATTGAAAAATTAAATAAATTAATATGAGCTGATTCATAATACAAGGATAGGCAGTGACGAACGTGCATATGGGTGGTTGATGGTGGGCAGGTGCCTCCCTAATTTGGAGAAAATTATAAGGAGGTAGGAGTTTTAAAAATTTGCCCTCATTGCTCCTATAATTTTTGAACCTACTAGACCCAAACTAAAATGTATTTGAGTCTAAAAATATTTGGATCTTTTATATTTTACTTAAGACAAATAGATTTTAATTTTAAATTCATTATATTTGAATTTAGATTACATTTATAAAAATAAAATTTTAATTTTCCTTTATAATATTTTACAAATCTAAAGTCAAATTAAATAATAAATATCCCTAATGAAATTTTAAAGCATACAAAGACCAAAAGACAGAAGATGGAAAGATCCTTTGCTAGAAAACAAAGTCTAAGATGAGGAACAGAATGAATGGAATAAGATTGTGAGACTTAGGGTGAGAAATTGAGGGTGAACTTTAGAAAATAAGTTGAAGGAGAGGGAGAAACAAGAAATTTTTATTATTGTTTAAAGTGGTCTGAAGTCTCAAAATTTTTCTTTTTTGACAATAAGCTGATTATCCAAGAGTTTTAAAACATGAAGTCATATAGAGAACTTATAAGGTATGTAAATATTCATTTTATATATTAAATATTTATTTTTTAATTATTTTTACATTTTATATAATTTATGTTCCTATTGACTGATGGTGCTACCGGCCAAAATTTTTTTGAGACTTATTGATAGTTATATAAAAATAATTTTTCTTTAAAAAATATTAAAGTAATTTAATTCCCATATATTATTTATAATATATATATATATATATATAAGAAAAGGATAAGTTGGTCTATTGGCCAAAAAATATATTTTACCCAAAAAATGTAGACCAAATTTTTGAAAATTTGGAAGTATGATCTGTTCACATTGATACACAAAGAGTTTAAACATTGGAAATTTATAAAGAATTTATCATTAATATATAATAATATCTCATTGACAAATATAACTAGCTGTAATACAAAATATAATAAATAATGAGCTGTTTGTTTAGTTTAATCTTATAACATAATCCCAACTATTCACGTGGCTGGTTCATTAGATTCTAACATATGCGTACCTATAGTTTAAATTGTTCATTTTATAAAAAATACAAAAAAAATTATCTCTTTTTTCACTCTAACCAAAACATATAAGTACAAAATCACAAAATTATTCTCTCTTTGAAAACCATTTTAAACAACTTAGCATCCAAGGATTTTGATGACCTTAATGTAATTTAGGGTGTTATAATTCTCTTCTTGAAGAAAATATTGAAAGTGAAATCGTAGTTTGAGAAAATTGTTGAATGCCAATGAATATTGAACAACAGGATAATTTCCGCTGCTTTCTGTAGAATAATACTATGGCAACGATAAATTATATTATCCCCGACATTATGAATGATCAAATAAATAACGTTGGAAAAAAAAGATAAACAAAGAATTTATATAACTAATTATTATTATTACTTAAAGTAGACTCAAGATTTGGATATACATAACCGTGACTGAAATTGAAATACCATACTTGAAACAAAAACAAAACAAAAAGGGAAATTTAAATAAACGGACTAATTAACTAAATAATTATGTCTATAAATCAAAACCTAATTTTTATATGAAATTAAAAATCCTAACAAACGGCCTCCACGGCAAGCCTCTTGGTAATATTTCCACAATTTGTTGAGCCAAATGTCCTCTCTGAAATATCAATAGAGCAGGTCTGCTTACCCACACATGCCTGCACAATTTCAATTAAATTAAGATGATTAATTAATGAATAAATTAATCTCTAAATAAATAAATGCATAAAGTATAAAAAATATTAATTAAGAGATTAATTAATTACCTTTTCTATAATGGACAAAGCATCATTGTTGCTTTCACAGGTTCCTTTATAGAATGAACCACATGTGCCTTGAGGATTTCCAAAACTTGCAAATTTAATGGCTGAAATTGAACGACTTTGGCAAGATAGTTCCAAACTGTGATTCTCATAGGCATTTCCACAAGCAGTTCCAACACTAACTGTTCTAAAATTTACATATGACGGATTTCCACCCATCTCTTCGAGCAAAACCAATGTGTTGTCACCGTCTCTAAGGAAAGATCGAGGAACGTGATACCTAAAAAAACTCATTCAAATTAGATATGAACAGTCAGAAATCCAAACTCTTGTTACTTAATTGAACTTGAAAGGAAAACAAAATCAACTAACCATTTTTGGGTTGGCTTTCCGCAATTGTAAATACATTTCGTTGAAGAATATTCACCACGATAATCACAAGGTTCATCACTACAGCCATCTTCTGAAGCCAAGTAAGTAGGCCAATAGCGACCAATGTTATTACCATTTATCCAAGCAAATCCTTTACCAAGTCCTTCCAAATCCACCACCACTGGATCTTTTCCAAGAGGAGCTTTGAACGTAGTCTAATATATATCAATTTCAAAAAGTGTAAATTTTAGCAATTGGACTACTAAAAAAGAATAATAACAGCCAAGTATGTATACCTTGTACCAAGTGAAGCTTCTGTTTGTGGGTAATTGGTCTGATGCCCATTTGGCACTAGAGCTTGACTCTTCGCTAAAAAATTTCTTATCCCAACCATCTAATCCAATCCTATGGAACCACTTGTGAGAAGTCAAGTCTTTAATAATTGTCTCGTCACCCTTTTTACCAACCACCTCAATTGGTCCAACTAGACCGGTATGCCACGTGTCAAAGAAGGATCCATAATTCTATTCAAACAAAGAGGTGTATCATTATAATAATTCAATCAAAGTAAGTAACATAGTATGTTTACTGCATACAAATTTACAATTAATTAATTAATATGATGATATATACACACTTGTAGTCCAGTAGTGACACTGAGCAAACTGATCACATTCTTTCCTGTTTTCAACTTGATCTTATATTCAACCTCATCATTATAAAGAACGCCATATTTAGCCCAGTGAGTTCCTACATATATCCGTCAAACACAATGTTAATTAAACTAATCATAACTAATTATCTATGAGTAATTAATTAAATTAAAGTAGTACAAAAAGAGGTTCCTTAATTATACCAATATGCTGTCCATTGACATACGCATAAATGACTTGGCCACTTGCATTAATTCTAAGAGACATATCATCGCTCCAAATAGGATCATCTTTGTCAAGATGAAGGCTATCAAAGAAGAAAGAAAAGATTGTTAGGCCTTTGCAATTAGAACAATAAAGAGAGATTAAAAAATTAAAGAGAAAGATCAGTGAACTGAGTATGATTTTACTTTGTGATGTACCAAAGGTAGTCACTAACATCATTAGTGACTTCCTTCTGATCAATGAGTTTATTTGCAGAAGAATGAGATTTGCCTTTAAGAGCATCATGAATATTCTCAGGCCTCCAAACCCACTTCAATGATTCTGGTTGCTTCTCAGCTTCATTTTCCCAATGTTCATTCACAGAGGTTTGAACGTTAATCTAATTACCCACAAACACATACATGTTAGATTCTTTGTGAGACACATTATTCATATATATAATGCAAAATTAGGGTTCAACATGGGTCAGTATTCTCTATTTGACATTTTGACTAGACATTGACCCCCCGACAATTCAGTCGGTTAATTCGAGCCAAATCGATCGGGATAGTACAGGTTGATATATGTAGCTAAAGAAATTAAAAAGAACTCTAATTTTGTACCCAAAAAAAATTCACCTTTGCGGTGTTATACTCTTCAGTTTCACCGTCTGGAAGAATGCTAACAGACCAAGCAGGAACTGTATATTGCTTTCCATTGAATGTGAAAGTTGCATCAGTAGTAGTGTTGCTATTGCTCAAGAACACACTTGATGATCCATTTGTAGCATACACAGTGGCCTACAACATTTTCAACATCAAACATTAATTACTATCAACCACTTCAAATTCCACAAACATATATACTAAAACCATTGACAATGAATAGTTCATCAAGTTTTGTAATTAATTACCTTGACAGAATTACCAAGATCAGTTTCGCTGACATTGCCATAGACAAGGTTTTTCTCAATTGATTTCAAAACTTCGTGAAGCTTCTTGAGATGGCCCCATTTTGGCTGAGCAATGTTTCCTGCATAAAGTTGGATCATATTATATTATACTCATTTATAGTTATACTCAAGGAATATATATATATATATATATTTGAAGAATCAAACCAAATTGATGTAATTTTCATACCAAATTCATCAAGGGGAGCATCATAGTCATACGAGGTTGTAATGTATGGACCACCAGCAGTTCTACCGAAGTTGGTTCCACCATGATACTATAAATAAAATACAGTATTTCATAAATCATAATCTTAGGAGAAAGATAAAATTTTATTATATATATATGTTAATATAATTTATACCATATAGTAGTTTTGTAAGGTTCCTCCAGTTTGGTAGAATCTGGCTACACCATAGGCAACATCTTCAGTTGTTCTATGTGGATCTTGACCTCCCCAGCTTTTAAACCTTTAATAAACATAAAAAAATAAAAATTATGAAAAATAAATTTATTATTAATTAATTGTCATAAACGAAATTTAAAATAAATTGATTTGGGACTTACCATCCTACCCAATTCTCAGTCCAAATCTTAGGGCTATTGGGATTATTGGGTGTGAATTGGTCACAATAATAACCATTACATGTATTGATCTGATAAAAGCAATCAATTAAACGTATTATTAGAACAGGATCATTAATATGAAAATTTAAAAAATAATTAAATTTAATTTAGTAATTAATTTTACCATTGGTTGAGGAGCATCGCTTTGTTGGCACATGATCCATGGAACTCCAATATTATAAGACTCTGCCATTGATGCACACCAATCTATATACACCTTACCAGCTTCTCCATAAGGATCCATAACATTCCCATACTCATTCTCAATCTGTTAATTTGGGGAAAAATAAATTAAATAGGTTAAATAAATTTTATAATTGGGTAACTTTTTTTTAAAATAATTCCTGAACTAATATTTACCTGGGCGATAATTATGGGACCACCTTGTGAAGCAAGAAGTTTCTCTTCACTGATCTTATTTATGATCAAGGTGGTGAAATTTTGCATCTCATTCTGTAAAAGCAAATAAAAACAATGATAAATAATTTTATTATGTTAATATATATTAAAAAATCACATGAATTTTAAAAAATAGTTAGTTGAACTAATTAACTTACCATGAACACATTATTTGCTGTCCTCATCTCAATACCAGGCAAATTATGCAACCACACGGGAAAACCCCTAATAAGAAAATAAAACAATATAATTAAGAATTATGATATTTAATATTGGACCTGAAAATTATTAATTAAAAAAATAAAATTAATTACTAATTAAATAATTAAACATACCCATAGTTCCATTCAGCACAAACATAAGGACCAATTCGAAGAATAGCATAAAGTCCAGCTTCATGGATGGTCTTGAGAAATCTGACAAGATCATTATTCCCAGAAAAATCATACTGTCGACGAACTGGTTCATGTGCATTCCAAAACACATAAGTCTCTATCGTATTTACCCCTCCTTCTTTGGCTTTTTCAATCAAGTCGGGCCACATCTACATAATAATTAATAAACAAACTCATCATTATAGGCGTATCAGAAAGAAACTGATTTTCATATTAGCTTATATATACATGAACTGTTCTGAAACGTTTCATGAACAAAACTGTCATACGTTCCAGAATAACAACAACAACAACAAAAACAATAATTCATAACATGGCTACCGATGATAATAGCAAATAAAACAAGGATAGATAGAGATTATTACTTGTGGTGTGCTTCTGGGATAATGAATAGAGCCAGAAATAAGAACTCGACGTTGGCCATCGATGATAATGGCTCGTCCATCGTGAGAGACATTGAGAGCATTGGCTACAAGAAGGAGACTCAGAAGAGAGAGACAAAACAAGATTTTCTGAGAAGCCATGTTGACTGATGATGATGGTGATGAGAGAGAGAGAGATTATCAGAGAAGAATGAAATTCAAGGAAGGCTCATGAGTACTTTATATAGAAAAAGAAACGTCAGATTATCGTGTACATATATCTGTTCTTTAATTCAGTTGGAAATTTGTTTTTTTGGATAAAAATATATTCATCAAGTTTATCATTATCCGTTTATCCTTAACCTTATGATATTTATTAAGGTGGATTAGTTTCTTAACAGATAGATTGATTTTTTTTTTTTAAAATCCAGGATCTGTCACAGAATCATCAGAGTACCTTGATCAATTAAAAAAAAATTCTTTTACCCTTTAATTATAAATAAAAATGTTATCCTTATAATTTTTTAATAATTTAATTAAATATTTTTTATCGTTTTTTATAAATATAATTTTTTACTTTTTTTTTGTTAATATTATTAATGTTTAGTAATATTTTTTACTCTTTAAATTTTTTTACTATTTTTATGGATCAATTTTATTTCTTTTAAAAATATATTAACGTATATTTGAAAAATATTGAATTTCTTAAAAAATTAATTTATAAACGCATTTATATTATGCTATATACGATTTAGATTTTTATGATTAAGGTTCTCTCTCCGTATGTTAGCTAAAAAGAAAAAAAAAAGGGTTAAAAGGCAAATATATATATAGAGTAGTCTGCCAAGGGCTGCCAGCATTATAAAATGAGAAAAAAGGTATAAATACTTATAATATTACATAAGTGGGTGCAGAAGTGACCAAATTGTTAACTTTGCTCTAATGCCATTGGTTTTCAGTGTTAAATATTGATTGTGCATGTTACATGTCAGTCTTTGCTGACGTGAACTAAAAAAAGGGCAAAAATACCCACGAAATAGTCAGCTAGAGGTATTAAGTAGTCTAAAGTGAAAAAAATGATAAAAATATCCATAACATTATTAAAGTTGGTTCAAAAGTGACCAGTCCATCAAATCCTTCAAATATTGACCATTTAGCTAACATTTAAGTAGAAATTAACCATTTTTTACTAATGTGGACAAAAAAATATTTCCATGTAAAATTCTATGGAGTTTAATCAGTCATCTTGTGAATATCATGTGAAAAAATGTTGTTTTGATCGAATATAAAATTAAATTACTTGCTTCTTTGTAGCAGCAATGAAATATTTCAAAATTTTGAACTTATCATGAATGAAATTGCTTAAGATTGTGATAATGTTTTAAGGTAGGATGGTGCAGGAGTTACATTGTGCTTAATCTCGATCTTTGATTATGTACAACCTATCTCACTGTGTTGAATATTAGGTTTTGTAGACAAGAAAAATGAGTGAATATTGGAGAGGGAGAGAGGAAAGGGGTGGGATATATGATGATAAAAAGAAACCATATGGTATTGATTGTGATAGATTAGTCACTATTGTACTTACTAAAGTAATATTATGGATATTCATATGATGATCGATCAAACTTTAAAGAAAATTCACCTGGGAATATTTTTTGTTTATATCAGTGAAAAAATGATCAACTTCTGCTTAGGTGTTAACCAAAAAGTCAATATTTAAGGGATTTAATGAATTGGTCATTTTTATACCAACTTTAATAACGTTATAAGTATTTTTGTTATTTTTTCTGACTTTAGGCTACTGGATGCACCTGGCTGACCACTTCATAAATATTTTTGCCTCTTTTTAGTCCATATCAACAAAGACTGACACGTGGCATGTACAATCAATATTTAACATTGGAAACTAACGACATTAGGATAAAGTTAACCGTTTGGTTACTTCTACACTCACTCATGTAACGTTATAGGTATTTATATCTTTTTCCTCACTTTATAATACTGGGTGCCCCCGAACGACTATTTTATATGTAGATTTGCACTTTAACCCAACAAAGAAATAAAAGACAAACCATGGTATAATAACTAGAAAAAATTATAAAAGTCACAATAATTTTTTCTACTAATTTTTTAGGGAAAAATTTCTGTACATGATATGATTTTTAAATGAAAATTTAATTATGTTTAAGATTATATTCTACATTCTTCGTTAGAAAATAAATAAAAATGGAAATCTTCATATAAGTTAAATTATATTATAAATTATTAGTTATAAATAAAAAAGTTGAAGGATAATTAATTACATGATAGAATCATCATTGTTTCGTGGAAAGACAAAAATTATACCATAAGAGAATAATTTCCCTTTCTTCAAATAATAGTAAATAAAACTTTCAACTGGTGAGAACCGGTGGAAAACCGTTCCATGCTAGTCTTGAACGTTTTTTTTTTTTGGTCTAAAAATTTTGAATAATCCAAAACTATATTATTTTGCGTTTTCATTATTTGGTTTTTTGGTTAATTTCTCTATAATGTCCTATATATAATATACTCGATGATTCATTGGTTGTTATGGCTAATCATGGAAGCTTGTATTGATTTGGTTCGACAATTAGGGCCCATTTGTTATAGCTTTTTTTAAAAAAATATATTTTATGAGTTTTTATGGTATTTGTTTAGATCTTTGAAAATAATCTGAGTCCAAAAAAAGAATATTTTTAATTATTTTAAGAAGCTACTTTGATTAGTTTATGAAAATAATCTAATACGGTAGATAAGAGAGAGTACTTTAAAGAGGTGGAATATGTGACAATATCATAAAATTTTAAAATAATATAATAATAAATCCTTTTTATAAAACAAAAATCAAGGAAGATATCATAAAATTTAAAAATAATTAACTAATAATTAATTTTTTATTATTCTAACCAAACATAAAATAATGTCTTCTTTTTATAAAATCTCTATAAAATAAATCTCTTTTTATAAACTCTCTAAACTATCTAAAAATTACTTATTTTTTAATCTAAAACAAACAGGCTCTTAATCTATTAGATTTGTTGATTTTGGTGATTTGTAATAAACAATAAAACATATAATGATATGGATAAATATTGTCGAACATATTTTTATTTTTCATTCATATTTTTTAAATTATATTAATTTAATTAAAATCGTCGTTCCGATCATGATGTAATTTCGCGATTCAACCATTAATTGAATTTCAAGGGCCAGTCAAATTCTAAAAAGAATTGTTATAGACTAATGGAAATTTTCGGATTTTAATTGTTACCCATTATTGTAGTATATTTGAAAGTTCAAGTAGTATACAATAAGATACTGAAGACTAAATTAGTTATTAAACCAGTTAAGATATTGATTCAAGAGTCAATAGTAAAAATAATAGTGAAACTACATCAAACAGGTTACAAACTGGTTATTGTATTAGACCGGGTCAAGACACTTATTTAATAATTTAATTAGACGGGTTGACCTATATCTCCATATTATGATTTTCAACTATCAGTCTTCATCTTGAGAAAATCTTTGACCTCGTTTATATATCTGCTTGTTTTCTGAATCTGAAAATAGCAACAATTATTTGAGCATCTAGATTACCGTTTTAGAGTTACTTTTCTAGTATTAATTATTTTCATATCATAACCTCCGGTATATTGTCAAAATCGTGAATCTTTTGGAGATCACCTTTTTCTTCTTCTTTTTTTTTTTCCTTTTCTTTTTAAAGAAAGGAGATCAGAGGGATACTATTGATATTCTCATGATGATCATTAAAATTACAATTACAATTATATTAATTTATGTTGCTAATACATTCAAACATAATTTCTAAAACTTTTTAATTTTCTTCTTTTTTAGTATATATTTTCCTTTTTGTTGATCGTCTCTCTTAATAGTTAATATCATCTTATTATGGGAAGCACAAATAAATCAACATTACAATTATACGTAGAGGTTTGTTAACCACCCGTACTCTTAAATACTTTTCTTAATAATTATTTATCATAATTTTCAGAATCTGTCTTTAGAAACATCTCTCTATTAAAATAGAATTTTTTTAAAAAAGTGATTTTTTCTTGAAAAAAAACTTAAACAAATAAGCCCTTAGTTGATGGAAGAAAATCTTCTTTTATATATATCTCGAAATAAAGTGTGAGACTTCACAGTTCACGCACCATGCACACATTATTCTGTTATCCAATAATCATTTTTCCTTTTTTTGGATCAATACGGTGGAGGTATTGGTTAAATTAAATAATTAAAAGCAATAAATTATTTCTTATATAAGATTGAGATTATTATGGTGTGTGTGTGTGTGTGAAAGTTGGATAATTTTATTTAATAAAAAATTTGGATAAATTTAATTTAATAATACAACAAAGCCTTCACCTTGTCAATAGTTTCATTATTGAAAGAGTCTTTGTCAATCCGTTTATGATGAAGAGGGACTCCAAGGTACATCTCTAAGTCAGTTGCTCTATTGAAACCCAACTTCTGGCTAATTGAAGTTAATGATATGTTTTCAAAACATAACCCCCTCATCTAGGGTGGAGCTAGAAAATTTTATTAAAAGAAGCCAAAATGACAAAGCGTATATATTAATCAAAAAGTAATTAAATCTATGTATATCACTAATATAACATAAATATTTCAATGTATATATTTATATTTAATTTTACAAATATAAAAAAATAAACATATACATTTATTTTTTAAGTTTTCCTCATCAATTTTTCATATTATAAGAATAATTAATTATCATATCAACATAAATTATCATTAAATTAGTAAAAATTTTATTTTTTCCACGAGCATTGAATAATTTAAATACATCATTTGGATCTAAAATTTTCTTCAATATATGAAGCTTTGTTACTTACTTATTAAATTTACTATTTAATTCTTTCTGATAATTATAGTAAACAAATATATCAACACAGTAATGATACTTAATTGTCACTAATTCTTTATGTCGATAATATTTAATTATATCATGATAACAACTATTGATATAATAAATTTCAATAGTTTGGTTATAATGAAAAAATTTATTTTTTTAGAAGAACATATCTTAATTATAATCTCTTAACTTTTGGATAAATAATTTTATAGTAGATATCAAAAATATATTATTCAATATA